CAGCGAGACAGCAGAGCTGAGGCTGGGTACAGGTTACAGCTGAGTATAGACTGCTGATACACTAGTGATTGTTTTTTAATCAGTCCACCCACCTGGCTCCTTTCTTCTCCAAAAGTGCAGTTTCTGCACAGGAAAGATGGGTTGGACCTGTCTGTGGAGGTACAGAGGGAATCACTTCATGGTGCCAGGCACTTGAACGGCGCTGTTTTCTCTCTCTCATTTTGGTCAAGGTTCAGGCTGTCCCACCTGCTGTCCACTCACCTGCCCCTCTAAGGTGCAGTGGCAGTCCTTGTGACCTCCAGGACAGAATATATTTGGTCTAAAGAGAGCCAAGAGCCTGGCCCTCCGTGTCAGGAGGAGAGAATACCTGCAGCAGAGCCTTTTTAATGTACTTCTCCTTTGGGTGCTGGAGTTTGGGCACACCAGACTATGAGCTGTTCAAGTTACCAGCCTCTCCCCATGGTATTTTCTCATAGGGATTTGTTGGTGCAAGTAATGATATAGACGGCCTCACCCTCCTGGTTGTTACACTTGACATTTGCAGGAGCCTACAGATCTCGTGAAGCAGCCTGGCTAATGAGGGTCTGTTATTAGGCTGTGCAGGACAGACAAGGCAGTGGGGTGCTGCCACCTCCCTGTCCTGCTCAACCATCCCATGGGTGTGCCAGGTCCAGCAAGCCACCAGCTTGCTGTCCTGCTGCAGGGCCAGGGATGTTTGCAGAGGAGCTGACACCACCCACACGGGTGTGGGGGTGACTTCTAGGTGTGCCACTGCGATCTGGGATCCACGTCCATGTCACCCAGCTACTCGCCCCCGCGTGCTGGTCAGCATGGTTATGTAGGGCTGCGCAGCCCCAACAGGGAGGAGCAGTGAGGGAGCAGGTACTCCAGCAGCTCTGCATGCCCATCTCACCCGCACCAGGAGCAAGAGAGGGTTGGCTTCACTGCCATCTGCATCTTGGTTCTATACAGGCTTTTCAAAGCTTGTTAGCTCCACAGGTGTGGGGAGGCACAGGGATGCAGCAGAAAGAGCTGTAGCAATTTGCAAACCGGCGTTTCACGGACCAGAAGGGCTGTTTCTTTAGAACATAAGCGCAAAATTGGTGAGGAGCTGTTACAAATATATATGCTGCCTGATAAAACAAACGTAGGTGATTTGTCTTTGTTCTGCACCATCTTAAATGCTTGGATCCCCTGCCATTGGCAATTTGTCTTGGTTCTTTTAAATTCCTAAGTGGATTATAATTTTTCTCGTGGTATTATTTGACAACAGTCATATTTCATGGCTTTACTGCATTCTTTGGATAGTTAGAATTTTTTTAGGGAAAGGAGCTCAGTAAGAGGCAGCCATCTCCAGGGCATGTCGTGTAATGCAGATGCTGAAGACAGCTGAAAGTGTTCTTTGTATTTTTATGTAGTTTTTATCCTCCGAAAATACAGGATTTGACCTATGATGGTTTACAGCATCTAAAGCACATTATTACCCCAATGCCGGATGCAAATCCTTTAAATGCTGTAGTATGAGTAAATTCCTCAGTACCTAATGTGCTTCAATGATCCTGGAATACTCAGTCTAAAAGAACAGTGAATTCTCAATATAATGGGGATGTTTTTAAGCTTTTCAGACACTAATGGGCTCAAAAATATAGGCATAAAAATTAGCTGCTTTGCTTTTATCTATGCATAAATTCCTGTCATGGAGTATGTTTGTATAAAAATTATAGGGATCATTTCAGTATCCATTTACTCTGCTCCTAATATTATATTACTGTGTGTTAGTTCGTAGAAATATGCCATATCTAATTAGGTTAGTAATGATTGTACTTAGCATAGGAATTGCAGCAACATGAGGAGAAAATAATCACACATTGCAATATCAAAATAAACATTTCCATCCTAAGAATGTTGTCAGGTGATGTCATACCATCTGTCCTACTGTACCCACTTGGAAATTTTGCTGCAGCAGCATCTGGTACTTTGGCGAGCTCCGCAGACAACTGTGGTAGCTGTACAGCTGCCTTTAACTTTGCTTTTATATTTAAACAGTATTAGGACTTCATGCTCCGTGTTCCTATAAATGTGTTTACTTTTACTAAAGTTTGGATATGGAGCAATTTGTGTGTTTTCCTGGTTTGCAGAATAAGGTACAGTGTGTGAATTGTCTTGGGAATTTGCAGTTGCCAAGCTGTAAAACACAGCTCTCCCTTCCTCCTTTGCTCCACAGCCTCCTTTGGGCCTGGGAGAGAGACACCCTTTTGGGGAGGACACTTCCCTGGGCACAGGAGAACCTGAGCCCTCAGTTCTATTCCTATAAACACGTGGTTATTTGTATAACCGGAAACAACTCCAGCAGAGAAGACTGAGAGGGAACAAAATAACTAATAACCCAGTCACTAATGGTGGGTATGGTTTTTCAAGCCCTTGCTCTGAACGAGGGAGGGCAGAGAGATGCTATGGGGCATCTCACATCCCCAGGGAGAGTGTAACTGCTGGGCACTCCTAGGCAGGCTACAGGGGAGCTGGGGGAAGGGAAATGTTTCAGTTTAATTTTTAGAGAAGGTTCAAGTGCTTACCTCTACTGGGGAATTCTCATCATTCTCCTTGAAAAATTGAAATGTTTGCCTGTTTGCAGATAGGCTTCTGTCAATAGCCACGTTCAGTGACCCAGCTCCTGCCCTGTTCTCCTGCACTTCACCCCTTGATAGCTTAGGAAAGCAACAGGAGCAAGTCTCTGGACTCCCTTTCTTGCATTCCTGGCAGTTCCCAGCTATATGGGGTGCTGATACACTTTACTGAAACATAATTTTTCATTCAGTAGGCAGCAAGATAGGTAAGAAATGTTCAACATGACTTTTAATTATTTAATCTCAGTACTGCAAGCTAAATATGTGACAACAGTGTCAAAAAAACCACAGTTGGAGCCATGGTGCTTTCTCATATTATTTTGCATTTTTTGTTTATTTTGTCATGTTAAAATGTCTCCTTAGACCACTTCTGCCCCTACTGTGTGAAGTAACATGCTAAATCTGACTGCAGACACTGCAGCCACTCATGGTTGCCAACCAGTACAATGGTTTCCTGTATTGCGTGTAAATGATCAGCGTGCAAGCTAGAGCAGTGCTGGGTGAGCACTCACTGGCACGTGCCCAAGGGCACACTCACTCCTGCATGCATGTGTTCAGCTCCCCACCACCCGTTTATTTCTCTGCCATGCCTGTTTTCCTCTTCAAGGTAGAAACAACTTCTTTTAGATCAGCTCTGCCCCTACTCTGCACTGAGTAAAGGCTGGGCAGATTTTCCGCTTGTGCACACAACAAGCTGGGATGGCATTATTTTGAAAGAGGGCTGCAAGGAAAATCCATGGAACGGGTGCTGTCAGACTTGGACTTGCCTGTGCAAACACCTGAAGAAAGTGTTACACTTTCCTTTTTCCTTCCACAAAATTAAAAAAAGAAATACAACCTCATAAAAAGCACAGAACATATCTAATTTTTAGCCCCATACACGTATGAGTGTTCTCTGATTCTAAATTCAGATTTCACTGTGCTAGATGATTTTTAAATAGATTTCCATTTAATTTCCTAAGTGCAGAAATCTAGCCAGTCCATTTCCTTTTCCCCCGAGTTTTGGACATCTGCTAGAGAAGACTCTGCTTACACCAAAGGAAAGCTCTGAGTGGATGTCCAATTAATTTAGATTTGTCATTTCAATTTGTTCATTCGGCAGGTATATTGTAAACAAAATAGCTTAAATGAGGTCTGCTTTGGGGTTTTAAATATTTTATTTGTGCTTAGCTTTTGGGAATTGCCCCTTATATACAGCATCTGTTCAATATGACAGGATTTTCTAGTGTTCATTGACTACATATCAGCTTTCTTTTAATTGAGTAAGCAAAATGTTTTGTGATCTGCATGGTTAAAAACTCCAGTGTTTAGTCCTGCCACTCTCAAGCTCCTTCAGTCTGCTCCCATGACACTGAGCTGCTGATTGACTAGTGGAGGGTCCTTGGAGTTCATCCTTCTGCTTTCAGTTCAGGTGCTGGAAGGTGCTCTCCTCTTGGAGAAACAGCAGCTCCTAAACGACCATGTTGGGCTCTGTAGGGGGCTGCTGTGGACTTCACTGGGCCAAGGATTTCCCCCAGGCAGGAAAGGGGCTGCTGAGGTTATTCCTGTGGTTATAATGAGGTGTGATGGGATGAAGTTAAGAAATAGGAAATTGAAGCTGAATGTGTTTTGGCAGAGATAATAATCTATAGAGCTAGCTCTCAAGGGAAGTGGTAAAAGTTTGGCTCTTTAGTATTGCACGGGTCAAAATACTGGAGGACATACAATAAGGTCCACTTCTATAGTAACAGCAACACAGAGTAACTGGCCTTCTTGTTACTGTCATGCTGGAGTTAGAAGAAAATCCCTTCTATCCCTTTTAAGTTAAGGGGCATTAGCATATGCTATAGATAGAAGTTATTCATCCATTATACTCTGCAAAGGGCTCTTTATCACCGTGATGCTGCTGGGTCTTTCAGTGTAAATTAGTCCCTTGAAGATCACTATGTTTTGTGGTTTGCAGTAGGGACGCAGGTTTTTTGATGTTGACCCTTGTTCACAAGGGGCTACGACTCAATCACTGAGTTGTTCATGGAAATCATACTGCAGAAGATCATAGTCCTAGGAGTAATGTGCGAGTCATTTAATCCATCAAAGCGCTCTACCCTCTGCAGGAGCACACGCAGACCTGTGCCTTAACAAACCTCTGTTCTTTCTGTACAGCACTGATTTTTCTATTTCTTTCTTGCAGTACAATAAACACCTCTTCGTACACATTGGACACGCCAACCATTCTTACAGTGACCCGCTGCTTGAATCGGTGGACATCCGTCAGATTTATGACAAATTTCCTGAAAAGAAGGGCGGTCTAAAGGAACTGTTTGGGAAGGGGCCGCAAAACGCTTTCTTCCTCGTAAAATTCTGGGTGAGTAAGACGTGATGTGGAGAACCTCTCTTGTTGATAAGACCTGTGTTTAGTGTTTAGCACCCTTCAGGGTGCTTGTGGAAATTTCTTTTGTTGTCATTTAAAAGTGCAAAGCTGTATATCGCTCAGGTAGGACGCTGGCCCAGAGCCACTCTTGTTGACAGCTCCACAAGAAGTCTGTGTTGCAGACTTCTGGAAAGGCAGATGCGTGCCCCAACTGTGCTTGACACAGCTGCTGGGCAGGAGCAAACAGGTAAGGGGAGCCCTGTTTGTGAATGGGGACCTGCCATCTAGTGGTGTGAGAAAAAAGGGGGAGGCTGCAGAAATGGAGGCTGCTTGGTACTGTTTCAAATGGTGAATTCCTGCCAGATGCAAGTAGTGTGAGTACCAGCCCCGCAGTCAGTCTGCACTCATGCAGATAGGACCAAGTAGGATTTGAACCGAGTGTGCAGCAGGACGACTGGGAGCCTGGGAGGGTTCCAGGGTTTTTCTTAAACAATTTTTGGTTGCTAGAGCACATCATCTTTCCCTTTGCCTTTTTGTTAGTCAGCCACGGGGCTCTGCTCCAAAAGTTGTATCTGTTCATATCACTTGTGAGCAAGAGTGAAAAAAGAATTTGAATGGAAAGCTGAGATGTTGTATATTGATCTAGTTGTGATAAATTTCATTGATACATCAGATTTTTCTTACTGCATTTACAAAATCTCATGTTAGTGATGCTACAGGTTCATCCAAAAGGATCATCAAATCTCCAGGCTGGACCTTATGCTTACACTGAAGTTTTTTCTACTCATTAATTTGTTAGGATGTTTTTGGGGGTATACTCCTTTTCATAGCAACAGTTATACTCTAAACATTTTAAATTTGTCTTTTAAAACCTTAGTGAAAGGAGCATATTCAAGGTCTAAGTACAGGGTAGACAGGTTGATGCTGAAACCAGAAGAGGTTGATCTGAAATCACTGCTTATGATCAGATTTCCAGGTGTTTATTGCTTTCAGTTGAAGTTTATCTGTGATGTGACCTGAAATACTCTCCACCCTGTACATGTCCCAGACTTCAAATCTTGCCAAGAGTTTCTGTGGCACCAGATTTGGAACTGGAAACTGGGAATGAGGGAGACACTTTTCTCAAATCGGTGTAGAAGAGAGAAACCACTGAGCAGGAGCTGTGCTGGACTGTAGAAGAAATCTATTGAGAAATTCATAAGGCTTAAAACTGGGCATGGGAGCTGTAGACCAAGCATTTGAGGGCCGGCTGAGTGAAGAGGCCAGGAACAGGAGGCAGCAGAGAACTGGAATCTGAAACACAGCAGGCACCAGGAGCCTGGAAAAGGCAGGTGAGAACGTAGGATCAAAAAGAGGAAGGCAATGGGAAGAGGGATTTGGGATAAGGAGCCTACAGGGAAATGTAGGAACAAAGGCACACAGCAGAGACATGTATGTGAGAGATGGGAATAGGACGAGCATAAGGGCAGAAGAAATCTGGCTGCAGAGGAATAGGGATGGGAGGTTAAGGGTCTGTGACTGCTAAATACATTTCCTTGCAAAACTTGGGCCTGAACTGAAGACAGTCATCTCACCGATCAACTTTGCACAATAAATACTTGCGAAACTCTCTGGCAAAATTAATGTCACCTCACTTACCTGCTCTCAGTTCCCACAGAGAACGAGAAGCCTCAGACCTTGTATTAGACATGGAAGCAGCAGAGATCTGTGATACGGTCATTGATGTATGTGTATCGTATGTTCTGTTTTTTTCTCCATGTGGAAACTGATTTTCAGGCATGCTGAATGTTCAAGGATGCATCTAAAGCTGGTAGAGATCTTCTTTAGGTCATTAAGGTCTGTGTTTTTCTCATTACTTTGAAAACTCAAGTGCCAGACTTCTCTGCTTGATCTACAAGCAGTGCACACCTGTAATATACTCTTGCCTCACTTCCCCATCTGCAATACAGGGGTGATACCATCCCTTCACCTCGGGTGGGCTGAGAAATCAAACTCATGCCTGTTTATGAAGAATCAAGATAATGCCATGAAGAAAAGCTTTATAAAATTAATAATTCCGTGTTCAGCACAGCTTTTGAGTAGTGTGCAGGAAACAGGCCACACTGGACCACACTGATTAATGACAACAAAGAAATATTGTGTGGATGCTCAGAAGGCGAGTGTGCAGTCGTGTAGCTAAAGACGGTATCGTGGTGCAGCTCAGCAGTCAGGATGTGCAGGCAACTTCACTCCAGCATTCCCTAAGTTCACTGTACCTTCCAACACAATGGTCTTTTAATACAATTGTGTGCTGTATTAACTTAGAGATTAAAAAACACACAGTGCTAACATCCTTCTGAGTTACACATTAAAAATGTGGTGAGAATGCCTTCCTGAGCCGTGACCTCAAAATAGGCCACTGGATTTCCTCTCTTATCGGGCAAGTGAAGCAGAGGGAGGGGAGGTGCCAGGTGCAGTGTTTGGGTGTAGCGAGAGTCACAACGAATGCCCTTCTAGGAATAAATTCAACCAGTGCCCCTCAGCTAGAAATATGTGTAGGAAAACTAGAGGATAGCTGTGTAATTAGTCATGAGAATGAGATCCTAAACTGTTAGCTCACTGTCCTTCATTTTTTTCAACCCAATAAGACATTTCTTCAGAAAAAAGGACGTTGTTCCTATTTTTATGGGGAGTGTTGAGAAACTGTTCTAAACAGTCATATATTACCAGTGTAAAGCTGGCAAAGGTTGCTGACAATCTTTTTGACCCTATTAGTAACTTTAGGTTTATTAATATGAAAATAGATTAATTTTTTTTGTATTCTTGTTCTTTTAAATTAAGTATCCACTTCTGAATAGGTATGCACTCTCTCCTTATCATCCACTACCTACTTCTCCCAGGTTCTGTTCATGTTGCATGGTTATTGCTTACTCACAATACTCTTTCTCACCTTTTATTTAACCATTCGTCTCTTCCCGTCCTTTCTGTTGTCTTCTCCCTTCATTATCATTTAACCATCGATAGTTTGCTCAGCACTGTAAGCTACTGAGTGCACCCCAGCATCATTGTCCAGTGATAGCCCACAATTTAGTGGAATTTGATTGTAATGGGAGGAAAGCAAGACTATGAATTTGTGTTGGACAAATAAGTACAGGTGAGAAAGTACTGCAAGGAGAATCAACAAAAAAAAAACAGGGACTAAGAGTGAAAGGAGTCGAGGGAAACCAGAGAAGGAAAGCAGACAGGTGTTGTGGCATGTGGAAGCTTGAAAGTGAAGGTGAGGATTTGATGCCAGAAGGGATGGTGAGCCTATAAACAGATTTAAAGAGAAGTCAGCATGTCGCTGGAGGCAGCAAAAAGGATATTTTGTTTAGACATTCAATCTAGTGTGGAAAGGAAAGACGGGGAACAGGAAGACCAGAGACAAGCATTCGCATTGAGGGAGGATGACTAAGGCAGAAAGCAGCTTAGCTCTGGTAGCTGGAAATACTGCTCCTCTTGCTCGTTCCTATTTAGTTCTGCTGGAGGCTTCTCAGCAGCACAGTTTTCCCTGTGATAAAGGTAATAAGATTGGATTACAAAGAAGTGGGACAGAAAGGTCTGAGGTCTTGCAAGAAGATACTTGGCAGCTGTGGAGTTGACTTTGCAAAGCATCACAGGTATGGGGTACAAAGTGTTGCTTTGCTTTGCTTTGCAGAGGTTTATTGGTTCACACAGATTGTCTCTCCTGTGAATTACAGCCTGACGCTGGGAATGGTTGAGCTTCTGGCCTTAGTCCTGGTGACGCATCTGGATGTGACACTTCTGGGCCTCTTCCTATCTAGCAATGCAGGAGGTATAAAAGGAAGAGACCACCTCAAACAAGCAGCCATGCAGCCCTGCAAAGCAATTTCCAGGCCCTTGTATTGCACCTTGACTCTTTTCTGGTCCTTATCCCAGGTAGTCACTGGGAACCAGAGAGGTCAGGGAGGTCACCCCAGAGACCGGCTTTTACAGTAATGAATAGAAGGAGCTTTTCTTGTTATGTTTTGCACTCAGTACAATGAGTAAATAGGGAACAACAAATAGGGAAATTTACGTGACAATTATATGAAATTGGAGATTACAGGGATATAAAATGAAAACAAAAATAAAAATTCTTAAAACAATGTAAAAGTTATTTGCTAGAACACTGACGAGGAATTCAGACAAGGCTGCAGAATATCTGCAGATGAAAGCTTTTCCTGGGTGCAGGTTGAATGCACAATCCTGCTTCTGTTCCTTTAGCGACTAACAAAATAAGCCCACTCTGTGTAAAACAATCAGGTATGATTGTGCCATCTAATCTTAATCTGGGTAAGGACAACGTACCTGTTGGTTGGTTTGTACTTGAACTGTTTTTGTGACTTGAGAAAAGCCCCAAAGTTTTCTGGTCTTTGAAGTTCTCATTAGCCTATCTAAAAGCTAAGTCAACACATGTTGCCTCTATTGGGTTTTGTGTCTTTGACACTGCCAAATGCTCTGTGCCCAGCCTCAACTCTGACTTCCGCAGCTACAGAACAGTTATAGGAAGCAAACAGATCTGAAAGGAGGAGGGATGTTGTCTAACTAGTGGCAGAAGGGGAAAAAAAAGCTGATAGAAATTAATATTGGGCTGTCAGATTTTCTACTGGTCCAATCCACTGGATTAATTTTAAATGTTTGCAGTAGCTTCAACTGTTCTTCCAGCTGAGGAAAGCTTAGTCAGAGCTCTGTGCAACTCTGAAATAAAGACCCAAACTCATCTGAAGATGCATGGATGATATTAATTGATGTTTAAAATGAATGCCTCTATTTGCAGGAATCTGCAATGCAAACTAGGAGTTTTAGAAAGTAATGCATATTATAATTAGGGCAAGCTTTTAAAGATGCTTTGAAGTCCTAAACATTTTTGAAATTCAAATGTGGGATGGAAATAAAGGAATCTACACAATAAAGGGGCATTAAATTATGTCCCCCAAAATTTCACTGTTTTATAGATGTAAATATATGCCATA